TCCTCCTCCTCCTCCTCCTCCTCCTCCTCCTCCTCCTCCTTATCCCCCCTTCCCCCTTTCTCCGCCCACACACGAGAGAAACACAAGTAAGTTTATTTTCTCATCCATGTCTTCACTTCCAAAACACTAACTTGTCACATCAGGCAGACGGAGTGATGGATTTGGGAGCACCAGTGGTGGCATCTGGACAGTGGGGGTTTGGTAAGTGAATTTGAAGTGAAATCAACCTTGATGTGAAACTGATTTTGAGTTCTTACAGGTGTGGTTTTCCCCTTCTGCACACTGTGCAGATGTGGTGGGAACATCATGGCCAGGTTGCAGTCACAAAAGCCTGAGACCCAAAAAAAAAACGAAAAAAAGAGAACATGCCCATAAAGGAAGGCACACGATCCAAAAAAAAAAGACAGGCCATGCTATCAAAAAAAAGGCCAAAGTGTATTCGTCACAAGCACAAAAGATAGCAAAACAACAAAAAGTTGTTTGAGTGAGCAAGGGTTCTGAACAAGCCTGGCTTGAAAGGACGTGTTGGAGTGGTGTTGCATTGTCAGTCAGTGTACCGGGTATGGATGGATTGCAAAGTCTTGGAAAGGATGGTATGGGAACACCAAGGAAGAGGGCGCAAAGAAAGAAACACGGATAGCACGACACCCAAAAAAAAGATCACCGAGCGGGCAGTCAAGTCAAGTCAACCACAACCACGACAACGACAAAGGTATGGGAAAGCTCGAGTGACAGGAGGAACAAACTGCATCCAGAACCGACAGCATCAGCAAACACAATCAGGGACTCAAGTCACTTGGTCTCTTCGGTTCAGCATGGATCGCCCACAGCCAAAAAAAAAAGGAGCATTGAGCGGGACGCACGGTATGGGAAAGCTCTTTGCCTGGAGGACAAGGATGGTGGAGACCCAACATTGGGCTCTGTGGAGAGAGAGACGGACAGTGCAAAAGGGACAACGAGCAACTGTGCGGGGTGCACGGTATGGGAAAGCGCATTGCCGGAGGAGCAGAGCCGTATGGGCACAGGGGATATGGACACAGGGTCAAGGGGATTTTGAGTTGAGCTGAGCTCAGCGTGGGCCGGACATGTGCAGGGCACAGTCGAGGCAGTTCAGGTCAGTTGGAACAGGACCAGGACATTGTCGTTGTGGTTGTCATTGCCATCGTTGGATGGAGAGCCTTGGAAAGGACTCGGAGGAATTTAGATAGATGGCGGCGGGCATGGCGGGTTGGTGGGCGGGTTTTCCTATGCACGAGAACCACGTTTGGTGGTGAAAGGGGGAAATCAATTGGGATTGTCCAGGTCCTGCAGGGATGGATACGCTCCGAGACATACGTCTGGAGCGAGGAACGAGTACATAGATACGAGATGTCGTCTTTCAATCCCTTGTGGACGCACTCACACACACCAGTCAATCAATCAGCTTGGAAATTCATCTATCCATCCATCCATCCATCCACCCTCCACCACCACCACTTTGTTCCTGCCAGTGAGTGATACATATCGTGTTTTTCTCAATCGAATGCTTTCGCCATGTTTCATGTACCATGTATACCATGTCGATGTCGTGTCGAAACCGGCACAAGAGCGCGTACAGATATGAAAAATGGCCAGTGGCTAATGGCAATGGCAAAGGCAAAGGCATAGGAAAAATGCAAAGGCCCAATATTGGATCCGTGGAGAACAGGGCAACTCGTTCCCCTTCAATGATCTCAATCTCTCGAGGTCTTCTAAGAGTTCTTTCTGTCTGTAGGTAACTCCCCTATCCACCAGCGCCGGACTAATCGCCGCACACACTAGCTGTTCAGTACAGATTTAACAACATCGATTAAACATACACTCAGAGGGGATCAAAGCATACATGTGCCTGCGGAGACTGGGATCTCGGGAGATCCACAAAGTGGACGGAGGATCTTCAACTCCTCCAACGCCCTCGCTAGCTAAGACTTTTGCATTTCAGGTGATTTCAAAGGTGAAAGTGTGTCGCGGCGGCGATAGGAGAGAGCATATAACTCTGCTTGTCTCCGCCCCATCCGCCGGTAGTGGTAGAGACGTCCATAACAATCATCAGTTCTCCAGCCGATAACAGAAGTCAAGTTGAAATTAGGGGTTGTGCAGTAAAAGGTTCAGGCTGGGAAGACGTGATGGAAGAATTCGTGGCAGGAGAGGAATCTCTCAATCGATGCCAGCGTAGAGGTCGACGACAATGTTGATAGCTCTGCAGGGAATGGGTTAGCTGTCCTGCTTTTGTGAAACACCAATTCGAATGAAGACTTACGCGACCAAGATTTCCGCGGCGATGAGAATGATAACTATAGCTCGTTAGCAAAAGGCCATTCAACAGCTCAATGATGCTCACCAATCCATTCCAGCACTTCTCCATGTCGCCTGCTGCCTTGTTCTCTCAGGACCGCAAGTAGATCTGCCCCAGATTAGCAATCCTCACATGTAGCATCAAGAATACTGTTGCACCGGAAACTCACCAGCAATAACATCCAGACGCTCTGTCAACAACCCAACACGCTGTTCAATTTCCAGGTAACTCCTCACAGCCGCATACACGGGTTCCAAATGAGGTTCCGACCACATCAACTCAGGAGAGTCCAGCACGGAGCCTTGCAAGTGGATGTTGATCCGTAAGATAAATAGTTCCCCGATTTGCATGTTCAATTGTCGTCTGGTCAAGTTGACACTGCCGGTTTGGGCGATAAGTGCTGGTAGCGGTGCGGTCGTTTCGATGGTCTCGCTGACAAGATCCTCGAACAGACTCGTCTTGACGGATTGAGACAGCGCGTGTGAAATGGCCAGCTTGATCATATGGTTTCGTGGCTCTCGTAGGGAGATGAAGTCGTTATAAATCCGTGCTTGGTATTCCTTCGTGTAATAGAAATTGAAGTTCTCGGTTTGAACGGATTCGGTAGGCAACGGAGCATCACTGAACTTGGACATGTCATGGAGAAATCTCTGCTCTTGTTGTACCGTCATGCCCCAAATGACGACAGTGCCATAGTCAAAGATAAAGATCTCGGGTATGTGGACAGTGGTGGAAAATTCCGAGTCCGCCCTCGGGCGCATCGCATCACTTTCAGACTGGAGGTCGGTGGAAAGGTGGCTCGAAATGGCGGTCAGATCTGTCGTCGTATCTTCTGCTGTTGCAGAAATACCTGTCTGGGTACCCAGTTCTTCCTGTAGGTCGATGAGTTGATCCCTTCTGATTTTGTTGTTATCTTCCACCTCTACGGCGCTGTCCGAGAACCGTCTCTCCCTGGGACTTATTCTCGGAGAAGCCATGACTCTCGCGATCCTTTCCTCGACTGGGCTTGAACTCCGGTCTCCTCCTTTGTTCTTCTTCACATAGTCGTAGTCGTAGGGGCTATAGAGACACTCGTCGAACAACTTGGGGTTGGCACCTCTAGTCCTTGACCTCGATTTCATGAATTTCATGATCCCATCAAGTCGGTATCCCTGTGCCATGCAGTATGCAGTGACTCGAGGTAATCGATCCCTATCCGCCTTCCCCAGCCTTGCAGCATCCCTCCTGGCCGTAGGGTCTTTGATCCGGGTGAACTGTGAATATACATCTCTGCCACTCTCCTCATCTCGTTCTTCGTCACCGATGTCCGGATTTGGAAGTATCTTTAGCTTCTCTGTGGTTTTGGTAGTCCTTTGGGCACCCGCTCTTGGAGCCGGAGTGAACGGCTGCGTGGTCGGTAGCGGGGCTCCGTGGCTATTTCTTCTGCGCAGTTTCGAGTTGAAAGCACTCAGCATAGGCGGCTGATCTCGAACTGCTGGGTTGGAACCGGTCAAGGCCGCCGAAGGACTTGAGATGGGTCGGAGAGCGGCGGAGGAGGTGGCTCCAGACTGGGTACTAACAGACGTCAAAGGGTTGAATGTGACAGTCCGTTGATTGCGTAGAGCGGGACGGGATGGCGACTCGCTGGGGGAAGTATGCTGGGGCAGTAAGGGAGACGACTCGCTCGCTGTGGTCGCCATGGTTCAGGCCTTTGACAGGGAAGCAGGTCGTACAAGAGGGAGGGATTGGAAACAGATTACAAGAGCCTGTGATATTCTTCACGGACTGTAGAGGGGGGGAGACGGAATGGATGAAGCTGAGAAGCCAGCAAGTGGTGTGTCCTCATAGACGAACTTAACCAGCCCAACCGTCTGGCTCTCCGGGTTTGCATCATCGTTCTCTGGCTGGCTCTCCAACTGGCAACCTTGGGAGCTCTCCAGCGACTCCACCTGCGCTTGCTTACTAAGTTAGTTTCGCCTGCAATCATGCACGTTACTTCCTGCCGAGCAAAGCTCCGTACTTGGTATCTACTCGGCACGCCTCTGCATATGCAAAAGGACAAGAAACCACCAATTATCTATGTACGTGGGACGGATTAGCAACAAGTCCATTGATCCACAGCAAACGGTGGTCGCACCACTGACCATCTGTGGTAACGTCCTTCCCAGGGTTAAACTACGAGGCTAAATATACACGACTGCTTCAGAAAACCCGTTTTTGACCCCCAACCTTTCCCTCCAAAATGATATCGAATAGGTCAATCAGTAGTAGTATGTCTCATCGGGTGTGCGACCACGAATGTAAGCTGGCTCGCTTCCACGGACGTAGATATCCTCGAAAAGAATCTTTTCCGTCGGGTCTGGAGGTGGCATCTTTTCGGCCTCGGCAACCTCTGCATCAACATCCTCTCGCGCCTTTTTATCAATCTGCTTGAGCTCATCTTCTGTGCACACTCCCCAGTCCAGGATCTTCTGCTTGAGCCCTGCAATGGGGTCATTGGTTGATCGCATCCGTTGAATTTCCTCTCTGGTTCGGTAGGTTGTACCTGGGTCTGACATGGAATGGCCACCATATCGGTACGTGACATATTCGAACACCAATGGTCCCTTGTCACTGGCGGTGTATTCCTTGCCGTACTGAACGGCGGCCTTGACGGCGAGAACGTCCATCGCATTGATCTTCAGACCGGGGATGTATTGTCCTCGCTTGTAGTACTCGGTCAAAGCGGACGATCGAGCGGCCGAGGTACCCATACCGTATTTGTTGTTCTCGCAGCCAAACAAAACGGGAAGGTTCCACAGCTTGGCCATGTTGAAAGCCTCAAAGACTTGACCCTGGTTGGAAGCGCCGTCGCCATACAGAGTGATGGTAGCGGTCTTACTGCCAGTGTACTGGTGCGCAAAGGCGATACCAGCACCAACAGGGACTTGGGCTCCAACAATGCCATTACCACCGTAGAAATTTGGAGCGAACATGTGCATCGAACCTCCTTTCCCGTAGGCGATGCCCTCTCGTCGCCCAAGGAGTTCACCAATGATGGATTTGACGGTGCCACCACGCATGAGCGCAAAGCCGTGGCATCGGTAAGCCGTGATGATAGCATCCTGGCGGGTGATTGCGTGTTCGATACCCACAGCAACGGCTTCCTGACCGGTTGACAAGTGGCAGAATCCTCGAATCTTCTTCTCCTTGTACAGTCTATCGGCCGCCATTTCCATACGACTATTGCGAGTGTCAGAAGGTGCATTTGCAGCATTCTCTGCTCACATCCGACTCACCGTATTGCCACCATGTCATAGTACATCTGTTTCAGCTCCTTTTTCGTGGTGTCAAGTGTGTACGAGGGAGGATCGAGGTTGTAGGTTTCGAAACTCTCGTCGGAGAGCTTGACTGGGAAAGGTTTATCATCTTCCTGCAGAGGGAGTGTCAGTTTCTCCTCGGACGCAAATGAAACCGAAGAGGGAGAGGGTGCGCCTTGCCTCCGGGACATCGTCCTTTTCTGCGTGAGAGCTCGCGGCGTCAGTGGTGACGCTCCGTCGAGCAAGCTGGTAGGCTTGTCTCTTTGGCAGCGACTGCAGGCCGAAGCCTCTTAGACAGGCTCTTGACAGCATCTCTGAATGGGTGAAAGGAGAGAAGAAGAGATGCAACGTATTCAATGGGGCGGCCGATGAAGAGAAGTGGATGGGAGTTCTGCTTAGCTGGTGCTCGTATGTTGGGAGGCCGAAAGGAGCGCTAGTGTCATCCAGCGGACCTCAAAAAAGCCAAAAATTGGGATTCCGTCGCCGACACCCAAATGGCCCCGGTGTTGCTGCTGCTGCTTTAACGATTCACCAATGCCTCGAGAGCCCTACGATCAACACATGAGATCCGGTATACCTCGTAGATAATAAGAACTTGCAAGTCGTAGACTCATATTACCAATTGCTGCGCCTAGTAATGGGATTCCTGCCTGCGTTGCACCTATCCCGATGCCTCGAACCTCAATGCCGTATCTGTAAGAATGCTTCCTCAAAGAGACGAGGGTATCACAGTCGCAAACAGTGTTCCCTCAACCCATTTCCACCGTCCCGCCCAACGTTGATCAGCTTTCAGTAGTAAAGGTTCATGGAGAACGTCACGACGTTTCTCATTTCGCTCATGCAGACAAACGATATGTCTCTCATCCCCAAATGGTTTAATATGCACCTCCAGGGCCTACCAATCCAGGCTGAGCACCGTACCCTCCAGAAACTCCGCCCTGATGTCCCAGCTGTCCGGGTTGCTGCATTGTTGAGCTAACATGAGTCCTACCGTGTCCGGCGTAGTTTGGCAGATCCGAAAACCACGGATGCCTGAGGGCGTCTTGTGCGCTGATTCGGTTCTCTGGTCTGAGCTGCAGCAACTTCCCCAGCAGATCAAGGCCTAACTGATCAATCTGCGGCAAGAGAATTGCCAACGATTGCGTGGCGTAAGATGGAAAGTTGCTCTTGTACTCGGGGAGTTGGGAGATGCCAGGCCAGGTGCGCTCTGACGGCGTGCCCATCAGCCTGAAAATTTTTTGTAGTTGGTCCTCATTCGTCGTCCCTGGAAACAAAGGCCGGCCAGTGTACATCTCGGCCATGATGCAGCCCGCAGACCAAATGTCGATGCTCGTGTTATAAGTCCTCGACCCCAAAAGCACGTCTGGTGCTCTGTACCACAGTGTGACCACCTCATTGGAAAAGGTATTTACTGGAATTCCAAATGCTCTTGCCAGGCCGAAATCCGCCAGCTTCAGTTGGCCTTTGGTGTTTATCAACAGGTTTTGGGGCTTCAGGTCGCGATGTAGGACTCGGTTCTCGTGACAGAATGCAGTGCCTCGGAGTAGATCTTGCATGAATCTCTTGATGGTGACATGGTCGAGTTGGCCCCTATCCCCTCGTGCGTCCATATACTTTTTCAAGTCCTTGTCCATGTATTCGAAGACCAGCATGAGCTTGTTCTCCGTGTGTATGACATCGTGCAGGGTGACAATGTTTTCATGCTTGAGCTCCTTCATCAAACTGATTTCTCGGATCGCAGTCGACGGTGTGCCTTCTTCGGAGTCAAGGTGGATTTCTTTGAGGGCAACGAGTTCACCCGTCTGTCGGTTTCGCCCCTTGTAGACAGTGGCGTAGGTCCCCTCACCGAGCTGAGGTTTTGAGTCAGCAAGGGCGACTCCCTTCTGGGAAGACCGGGACTTGTCAACGTACCTTTTCCAGCTGTTGGAATGAACTAGGGTGCCTCCGATCCATATCTGTGTGTAGTGGTCGGTCTGGTTGGGTTACTCGTCTGAAAGGCGGGGTACCGCCAGGGAATAAAAGTGAGGCTGGCGAGATGACTCGTTCGGCGAGCTGTTGCGCAGTGAGCCTCTGAGGTTGTTGGTGGGTTCTCTGCTGAGTGGAAGCCTGTGACTGGGTTTGGGAATGGTGTGTCGATGCTGTCGAAGAGACTGAAGTACGATGAGGAATAGATGTGGAACGAGAAGACATGACAAGGAAACGGGGAACCCAGGGCAGGCCCAGAAAATGAGAGGCAGCGCCTTTAGGATTTTACTGGTATTGGTTCTCGCCAGCGACGATCCTCAGTCTCGCCTCTACGCATCAGGCCAAACTCCAGTGAAACGCAAATCATTTGCCACGAGCGGCTAGAAGGAGTATGCCAGGGATATCGGTGCCTGGCTATGGGTTACACATCGGGGACAACTGGCTCTACTGCTGCAGAGGAAAAGCAAAAAAAACCTCTTCTGTGTCCGCAGACCCTGCAAGATCCGGGCGCCTGTTATGCCCCGCCATTCGCCTGTTGCTTCGTCCAGACCAGGCATTTGTAACTGGCCAAACCCGTTTCCCCTTGCTCTTGCCTCTGTCCGGTGACTAGCCAAAAATCCGCACACCGCACACCGCACACCGCACAAAAGATCGAGAATTCAATTACCTCGGCGCTTCCGTTTTGCTATGTATAGACATGCACACAGCCGCCCTGTTTCAGCCTCGTACGCCTGTCATCGATGGACAAGCAAACAAGCTACGGCACAAGTTCACTACAAGACAAGCACACTGATTCACATGCATGTGGGTATTTGTAGGATTATGACATACTTATTATGTCTACATTATAACTCTGTCCAGACAGCGCCGACCAGCGGCCTAGCCCCCCGGACGTTCATCATCTATTTCAGCTGGCTCGCGCCAATATGGACTCTTTGGTCGGCACTGTAGCCGTTGTCGTCTCTTACACGCTGAATCCTTTAAATGCAACGAGATTGCAGACCTCCGCTCATAACAAGTCGTCGAATCGCTCAAAAAATAAACAAGTAGTCGTGAAGTTGCTGACGGTATCTGTGAGAGGGGTATCATCGGAACAAATCATTCATATGCAACTCTCTTTTCAGTGTCATTTCGTGGGCAAGTCGTCTCGTGCACTGTACTTCGTTCGTAACGCCGCCAGGGCAACTATAGTGTAGAATAATTCAACGTGGTGTCTAGCTCGTTCCAAAATCATGCTGTGCGTGGATTGCTGAGTGATGGCGGATGCTGTGTCTTCCCCCCTGCTGTGACCAGCGTTGGGACCACTGGCTCACTCATTGTTCGCCGACGTGACGATTCGACGGTTGGTCGTTGAGCATATGCAATGAGCATCTTGAAGCTCGATCCCCGACCTTTACATTCCGCCAGTACATTTCTGTCGGCGAATATGCTTCTGGCGAGGTTGCCATCGCTAATGACGCTGGCTTCAAAACAATGCTGCCACCATGTTCGTGCCGTCCTCGACACGATCTTTCCGATACGAAGATCCGCATTGTCTGAACGATCGGAAAGAAGGTCGTTCAGGGAGAGGTTGGCTCCTCTGCGACCTTGGCCGAATGTCATTCGCGGAGACGCATCTCCCGGACGTGTGTCACCAGATCCTCGCTTTGGTAACCCGTCCGAGCCTCGACTTGAGCGCGATGACGACGACGAATCGGAGGATCCTGAAGGACGCCCTGCGACAGGTACTCCTACTACGCAGCGGCTGATATTTGTGAAACGTCGTGAGCCTAACACGCTCTGGACATTGTCGATAATTGGTCGCAGGCTGATTTGTTTATCTGCCGTCGTCATTCGATACTTGAGCTCTCGGACAGCCCTCCGAGTCTGCACGCCCATGTTGACAATGTCAAGATCTAGCAGCATTAGTTCCAGATAGCCGCCTGGTTCTAATACCCGCCTGCATTCAGAAACAATGTTCTTCATCTTTGCTTCGGCCATTGCGGGAGGAAAGCGGAGGACAACCACGGAGAAGAAATCCTGTGGGAAAGGAAACTTTTCGTAGAAACTCGGGATTTCGGCTCGTCGATGATTGTCTGGTGCATGCTGGGTCACTTTCGAAGTCTTCATTCCTTTGGGTGTAACTTTCTCTTTGAGATCGTGGACATATGCCTTTTGCGCTTCATAAGTCACTGCACAATATATCGACCAATCTTCATTGCCTAGACCGTCAATGACAAGGATGTGACGCTCTGGAGATTTCAGAATATCATCATGAGCAGGCGAGAATAGAACTCGTCCAAATGATAACCACTTTGACACCATGAGCGATGCGTAGTGCAGCTCTGACTGTGCCGCTGGGTCCTTGCCTCGTTCAACAACGTCTAAACGAGCAACGTTCTCTTGATGAGATGATTCTGGGGCCAGCTCAGGTGCACTGATTGTTGCCGTCAGACGCTCGAGGGAGGGATTTGCCGTAGATGTGCTCAAGCGCTCCGAGAGTTTAGTGCTTTGTCTTGAATGATTTTCGTACTCGCTTAGTATATCGCGAATTGAGAAAGGTGATACAGGGTCGCTTGAATGATGCAAGGCCGAGACGATTCTGGACCTGCGCAATCGAATATCCTCCCCTACGACGCGTTCAGCCATTGTTGGTGGTGGAAAGACTACTGGAGGGGTAGCTGATGTCGCCAGAGTCTGTGAGTAGACGGGTCTTCTCATGCCAGGAACGGGAAATTCTGCTAAGATAGGATCGGATCGTTCGTCCTCGGGGTGTTGGTCCAACGGGGTCGGCCTCGGAAGAGACTCGAGATCCACCAGTCCTGGTTTACCTCGCCGTGCCAGAGCCTTTACACTTCTTCTGCTTCGAGAAGGTGACATGACATGGTCAATGAAATCGTCGTATTCATTCCAGACATCATCGAGGCTGGGGCTGCCAGTTGGATAGACATCTTGAGCTGCAATAGGTCTTCCAGAAATGCCACCAGCAGGCATACTTGGAATCAGAGGGGGTCCAAGCATACTTAAGACTCCCTCGGAGCTGCTGGATGCAGAGACTTCTGATGGTTGCCTCGACGGGAATCTCAGGAACTCCGTCTCTCCTAACACTGGTGCACTAGGAAGTTTGGTGGCTTCATCCACTGCAGCGAATGGTCTACTTGGTAGTACATCCGTACTGATCTGGAGTGGCATAGACAGCAGGGGGTCGAAGGGTTCCGACGGATTGAATGGACTCTCAGAGGGAGGATCCCTGACAAATGGTTGAGAAAAGGAGGCGCGACTCGGTTTATGCTGCCTCTCGTTCCTCGGTACAACGGGTGGGATCCTTCCAACTCGGATCAGGCGCGGCTGTTTCTGTGGCGGCTCCTCTGTTTGAATCGAAACGTGCTCAGCCTGACTCAGCTGCGGCACTGCCGGTGGCGACCTCGAAAACGTTTGCGGGGACGACATTTGTGCAGTTCGGGAAAAGGTGTCGTCCCCATGTATGGATGTTTGCGGTTCATCTTCTGCAAAGTCTGCTTCGTAACCGCCGATCAATGGACTCACCACTGGTGAATCAACGACTCGCGCAAGGTAGTCTCCAACATACTCAGGTGGATTGACTTCACTCTCAGAATCCATCATGGCATAGTACGGCATAGGCCGAGAGACAGGAATAGCGGATATGCTGACTGGCATCTCCTCGGGCGAAGATGAAATTGCACCGACACGTCTCACGGGTTCTGGTTCGGTTCCTCTTTTTCGAAAGATGTTCCACCGAAGCTTCCGAGTCTTCTTATCCTTCGATTTCTGGAGTCCAGTATCGCCTCGGCTGGGATCAGTCGTTGTGCTAGGTGTCGAGGTTGGAAAAGCTGAAGAACGACTGTCGTCTTGGCTGTTGATATACAATGGCGCCGAAAGTCCTTCGGTGCGAATTGATGTTGGGAGATTGAAGCTCTCTGGATCATTGCCAAAGCGTTGTGATCGCCGCAGTGCCAGTGTAGGAACACTATTCTGGCTTGATAGCCGTTCCTGAGCTCTCTGTGGACTGTCTTCGACTGACTGTCGACCAATAGACGTCTGCGACTGCGATGCGGTTCCCCATGTCTCCACAACATTAGCAGGTGGAGCAGAAGAGCTCTCGTATGCGTCAAGTCGAGTTCCCGAAATGCTCTTCATACTACTGCCAGAGCCACCGATGATAGGGATGGGTTTCATTCGACTCGCCGCAAAGTCGTCCAGATCGGATTGGCTGCTTCGATTGTGGCGGCTGCTACTGCGGCTATCCTTGCCCTTGGAGGAGAAAAGAGGAATCCTTCTAGTGCTGCTCACGGATCTTTCACTTTCGCTTCCTCTGGCTGAATTGCTCTCTTCAGATGTCTTGCGGCCCCTTCTTCCATATTTTCCGTATCCTTCGTGGCCTGTCCCAGCAGCAGGCCCTCTGCGTTGCAGCTTGCGGGGGGATTTTTCGACTTCGATCGCAGGAGACTTGGTTCGGCGACCAAACAGTCCGAAGCGAGAGAATTTGCCTGCGCGACCTGTTGAGCTTTGCGTTGCTAAGTCCGGATCCGGAGGGGTCTTTGGACGACCTTCCATTGCCGCGGCCATCTCCTGTATTCTAGGAAACTCAGTCGGCCGAGATTGAGTCTCGGGATTCTGTTGTGTTACATCTGGATGTCGGCGTGTGGAAGGTGCGCGATTTCTCTGATCACCGAAGATGTCTACACCTTGGCGGTTTTCGCTGCGCGGTTTGTCATGTAAAGACTGCTGGAGATTGGCATGAGCACGGACAATCGGGCGGTGCTGGAGGGATTGCCCAACATTTACCCGGTCTGGGTAGCCTCGAGCTGCCAAAGGGCTGCGTTCTAAATCGGACAAGGAACGTGTAGGCTCCTGGTCCGGTCTCCCACGTTGCTTGTCGCTTTTGCTGCTGCTCCTACTTAGTGAATGTTTCGCGGACGAAGACCTTGGAGGTGGGGTAGGGGCTGGCGTGTTCAAGGGTGTTCTCTTCCTGCCGGACGACTTCACCG